ATAAACATGAAAAACAAGAAATAAAATACTTAACCAATCTTCTTTTTTCTTGCTGTTCATTGTTGAAGAGAGTTAACCCTAATTATTATATATTAATGATAGTAATGCACTTAATAATTTTTATTTAATTAAATAATGCATCAAACAATATAGACTAATAAAAGTAGACAAATCTCCTTACCTCTCAAATGGTTTCTGGCTTTCTAACTATGCAATAAGAGTCGTTACAAATTCATTCAAACTAGTTGTTAACTTTCTCACAGGAACGATATTGGTACTCTGAGTGAAATTGACGTTTAACTGTTCATTTGATAGATGAAAACACTAATTTTTTATTGGTTATAGGTAATATATAATTATACTTAAGAGAGAACTATTAACAAATCCTGAAAGATAGGATGTGGCAGGAGGGGTTTGATTTTCTATAATCGATTGCTCTTTAACCAAACAAAATTGAAGACTATAAAAAAATTTGGATTGTCGGAGCAATGACTATTTTATAGTGAGTAATTTACGTTTAATTTCATACTTTTCCAAGGGGTGGTGGATAAAATGCCTAGAGAAAATGTATCATGTGTGTCGCACTATGGGAAATTCAGGATTTTTTGAGAAATGAATGTCAAGGTCGCTCACTTCACGATTTTCTGTTTTATGAGGCATACAGATTGGTAACAGGTCTTTCCAAAAAATGTGTCTCTGTGTCAAAAGAGATTTATTACTAACAAAAAAAAAAGTTGAAATATATATATACAAGGGGATTCTGGTTCATAATAAGCTATTATATTACACATGTTATTCATGAGTAAAGTATTACTTTAAATGTATGAAGTAAGTTACTGATGCTCTTGCATTACATGGGTTTACAAGTGAGCAGCTGAAGTAAAAATGGATTCAGGCCATGTTTATGTGAAACTTTGTTTTATCAAATCTTAACAGAACAGAAGCAGGATGGTTCCTAATACCATATCAGCAACAGAAATATCCAGAAATACTATACCATACATACATTGAAATTCCTTTGATACAATAATTGTAAATTGCAGTTAGCAGAACCCAGTTGGTTTCTTTGTGTTTGAGTGTGCAGAACAAATAGGTCTGGTGCATTTTGCACATGATCTACTAGACTTCCTTTAGAGGTAGGGCACATCATACATATTTTGCATTTCGTAGTAGTAGTAGTACTCCTTATGAACTCATTATGATCTTCAATATACATTTTTATGCTATACCTTTTAAGATGAAATTAACACAAATATTACCGTATGCAAGACCTGAGTTACTAATGACCCATGTCCTTGCATTGAAAATTATTGTACAATAAAGTGTTTTTTTTTGTGTTTTGGTTGAATTAATGTAATGTATTCACCAAGAAGATTCAATTAAGGAATTAAAAAAGTTTGATCAGCAAAAAAATTCCATCATCAATTTTAAAATAATTATGTAATGCATAGGACATGTGAGGCCCAACTCATGAATTTAGGGGTTAACATCCTTAATTTTGAAACTGTCTTGTCCTCTTTACTTTTGATGGCTCCACTGGAAGACAGGGTAGGTTTTGTATGCGACTGTTTATTCTTCCATGCTTTTGTAGCGTGTTATGTGTTCCCTTGCATTCCATAAGTTTCTGCAGATTTCTTTTTCAGCTACTATCCTTTGCTTATCAACACATCTGATTTTCTCATCTACTTCCCTATATTTCTGTTCCCCTCTTAATAATTATATGAATAGTTTATCAGTAATTTTGTTTGTCATAAAACAAAGTATACATCAAAAAGCATTACCTGTAGCACACAAATATTGTGATGTGTAGTGCAGCTTGGGCAGGGGTCATTAACAGGTTATATCTCCAAGAGACAAGTAGAATATCACTAGTGTTAGTTAAGAAAACCTTTATAAAGACAATTTGGATGGCAGTGTATAATATCTGTAATTTGGAAATAACCACAAGTTTTGAAAAAATTAAATTAAAAAACACTGAAATATAAAATGTTTCATTGACAGTAACTAGTAATATGGTACATGTAAGTATTTCCAAGGATATGGAGCTCTTTGTTTACCATAAATCTTTGCAGAAACAGTTGAACTTGTGTCAGTGAATAATTGAATACATTATATTTACCTAATAATCTTTAATTCAATGCATCAGTTATGTGAGTAATATATTAGGAAAATTGACTGTTTGTCAAGCAACAAACAAAAGTTAGGGACAGGAAAGAAGAAAGATTGGAGGAAAATATGAGCATGTATAGCTTGACAGAATTGGATTGATAGTTTTATTATTGTTTCAAAACTTGCGTGTGTTCAGATTAAGACCGTGTTGTACTCTTGACATAAAGATATTGCTAATTATGGAAACTGTGTGCTACTGTGATTGAGGACAGACAATGTGTTAATGTTTGAAATTGTGTCTAAATCCAAGAACCATAGAAAGTAACAACTAGGGTTGAACTAATACTCAACCTCAACCAGATTTAGCATGTTCTGAATAAAAACTGCTAAAAAATTTACAAGTTTTGTGTGATATGAATTATATACAATTAGAGAGTGAAGTTTATGGTAGTTACGTACCATACATGTATTTTGTAAATGATAAATGAAACACTTTGTTTAATTTTTTTTAGTCAGCCAAATATAACTTTTGTGAGAGAAATAGAATATATAAGGCTGAATAACAGCATTTAAAAATTCATCTTTTTTTATTCATAAAGATGAAAAATTCAAGCATAGTAGTAAAATATGAAGCAAAAGTAAATATGCAAGATTTTTGAACTTGATGTTTTGGCATAAAAAGTTATAGAAAAGTTGACATAGTCTTTTGGGATTTGACTTTTTTTCTTCAATGTGACATGTAATTTGAAATAGTTTATGGTTTGTATTGTTCAGCACCTTTTATAATTTCATAATGTAATCAATTCAGATTCTTCACTACCTTTTCTAATTTTTTGTATCAGTATGATGAATTGGTTCCTTCAACATTAACTACGCAGTATGGAGGGTTTTACATCAACTCTGGAGGTCTAGAGTTTCGAACAGTTTCAGACACAGAAGAGAGTCCTGAAGGACACAAGCCAAAACGAAGAGTTAGTTGAATATATTCAAACTATAATGATTTTAATATTAAGGTTCTCGGGTTTATGTTATATAATGCTGGAGCTAGCAAATTATGATCATTTTTAGGCTAGCTAGTGTAATTAGTTTTCATATTAAAATTACGTATTATTTATAACTAGTCCAATATTGTTTTTTAAGTTAGAAGACTGCTTTAATTAGATTTCAACTGCAATTTGTGTTAGCTCTTGCTAACAAATGTTTGAGTAGTTTCAAAGCTTATCAGGATGGTCAAATTTGTAACACCTGCATTATATTAGAAAGTTATTGCTATTAGTCCTTTTTGAAATTAATGCTGAAGTTGGCAAAATATGCAAACTGTTGAAATACTGTCATTGTACTATTCTTAATGGAAGTAGTTATTGTGTGTACTATTTAAGAGTGAAGTGTTCAAAATATCTGTAGACTTAATGTTATGACTCATTACAATTGCTAACCAAAAAGTAGTTTAATTTCTCACAACTTTAATATTATACACCTGAAAGTAGTTTAGTTTCTCACAACTTTAATATTATACACCTGAAACTTAATGTTGTTTAGTTAACAGTTACATTACTCTTCTTTTTCACTACTTCCCTGTATGTAAAGAAGTTGATAACAACAGAGGGCAGTGACTTTTGCATTAACTGTGTCCATTTGCTTTGTAGGTCTTTGTATCAGTGTATAATAATTAGGGCTGTAAAGAAGGGTAGATTTTGACCTTCAGAAGTTTGGAACACATTACCAACCAAAGATTTTAACCATTGATAATACTAATTTGCTTACAGTATCACCATAACTACTAGTTTATATTTGAATGAAAATAAGAAAGGCATGTTGTTTATGTACCATACTTGATGCTACATGTAATGCTTATATAGCTACATACAGTAAGCCTCGATTACTAGAACACATATTGTGGCCAATTAAAAGAATTGCAGATGACTTGAGTAAAACAAATCTTTATTTAAACATCACTATTTTAAACTAGTTAATTAACATCTTAGTCTTTTTAACATAAAATTGTTTATTAATCACATACCTAATGAATATAATAAATAAACAGGAAGTCAAAACTAAGTAACTCTAACAATTCAGTTAGAAAATATATCCAGACCTTCAGCTGTAACAAAAAGTTGCAGTGCAGAAAAGAATGTTATTATCAGTCACTTTGTTTTATAACAACAATGTTGATTAATTAAAAATATGCCTTGGGGGGAATTTAAAATTATATTGATGGTAGCTTTTCAACTTTAAAATTATTAGAATAAATAGGTTTTATACTTATTCTTATGTCTTGTACACTAGGTAGTCAGTACATTTTTTTGAAACAATGTAGTCACTAAATGTATTCCTCGTATGCTTCACTGCAATGGTCTCCTCCTATGTATGGAAGGAGTTACTACATACAATGTTTTGGTAGTTTTTGTTGTTTTTTTTTCAATATTTTTTTTACTTTTGTTTAAGTAATGACCATTATACATATCAAAAGATTAATGATATTTCATGTGTGATTACTGTTCTAACATTGTCAAACAGCTTCTGTTAACAAGAGAAGAAAATCTGGGGCTGTTTGAATACTGCTTGATGAATCTTCAAATGTTGAGTCCTGTCTTTGAATTATTGGCTAGCAAACAAACCTTGAGCACAGCCCTATAATAATTATGCAAGTGCACAACTTCAGTTTTAAGAAATATATAACAAAAACTAGTCTTTATTTAATGCAACAAATAGTTGGCAAAATTTTAATATAACTGATTAAGAAAAACTAGACTTATATAAAATAATGCAGTGTAGAAGTGTACTTAGTCAAGATTTCTCTTACCTTTCTTCTAGAATTAAAGAAAAATGTTTGTAGTGGTAAGACATTTAGCCTTTTTTGTTGTATTTTCTTTGAGATATGAAAGTTTCTCTCACTCTCAACAGCACAATATTTTTAGTGTGTAAAATCATGAGGGTTACTTTTTTTAATAAAAGGTTAGACTACAAAGTGGCTGCTAAATTATTTATTGTCAAAATGTTTTTTGTTTTTTTTAATGAACCATTGAAATTTTATAGTGGACTTAGCTATTCATACTTTCAAATAAGCTTTTTATTTTCTGAGCAATATTGTTTTTTTTTTACAAGACGGATTATTTATTTATTTATCTTGGTTAAATATAAAACTTTTCAATTGGAAATGTTGTCATTGTTAAATTTTAAGAAAATATCCTTGATTTTAGCAGGGTATTGTAGTTTTTGCCATTAACTATTGTAACAGGTACTGTAGTATACTAAAACAAACTTGGGCATGGTAATGTGTTTGGTGATAATTTTGGCACTTTTTTTTATAATTTAATTTTTATTAACAGTGTAATTCTCATTTGAATGCTAGATAAAATCCATAAAAATTTTTAATGATATTAAAAACTGCATTAATTTCATAGTTTTCTGCTTCTAATACACTTATATTGTTGTATACAATATTTGTTTCAGACGTTTTCTGTTCCTGTATGCATTATGATGTTGGAGAAGACATATGTATTAGTTTCAGAGTTCATTTTTTGTTGATATGCATTATGATGTCATGTAAGACATCTGTATTGGTTTTATACTTCTGTTACAGGTGCATATATGATATTGTAGAATTTTTTGTTGTTGTTGCTGATACAGATATTTGATATAGAAGACACATGAAGTAATACCTTAGTATTTTTTGTTGTTATTTGTACACAAGTGTTTGATGGTGTAAAACAATACCAGAGAATGGCTTGCTGCTCCCTAAACTGTTGCAGACCACTGAGATTCAAGTACAACGAAAACCTATTATGATTTATACATGGATCTTCTGTCATTTTGTGTTTGTTTCTTGTGAAATCCCATGGTCTGGCAAGGTGGTTGTGACAGATCAGCACTGATCTGTAGACCAGTGGTTGAGAAACACTGGTGTAGAAAACATATGCATTGGTTTCATACTTACCAGTGCCCCAGATAAGGAGTGTACTAGTGTAATTTTTGACCAAAAATCAGCCATTTATGGCCTTAAACATTTATTTAAAAGTTGTTTTATTGGCATGGAAAAATTAATATTGCTTGTGCTGTTTTAATGGTAGTACAGTAACTAATGGGTGCATTCTTGTAGCTTTTTGCAGTTCTACACAAGATCTGTGGAGTTCATACAGTAGAGCTGTAAAAATAAATACTCTCTAACCACCAGAAGTTTCTATTGGTGCACTCGTGAATTATCCATTTTTGTGTATAAAAAGAAAAGAAAAAGTTTTTAATGTCATTATTTTTGTTTATTATGACTACATCTGGTGATTTATTTTGCCATATTAATCCTGTGCCAAATTTCACCTTTTGGAATAATAAAATGATTCATAGTTAGTTAAATTATTTTTTTATCACAAAAGTTTACTCCTGTACTGTAAAATATTTAAAATTAGACCCACTGACAGGAAAAATTTTCTGGAGCACTACTTATGGTGTTGTAGAAGATATATGTTTTGGTTTAAGTGTTTTCTTGTTGCTTATATGCTTGTATGATCTAGAAGACACATGAAGTAATGTCGTAGTATTTCTTGTTGTTGATGTTGGTGGAGACATGTAATACATTAGTTTTATTTCAGTTCAAGTTTTTTATGTCTTTGTTTTAGAAGCATAAGTACAAAGAATTGCTGGAACGAGAAGGAAAAAGAAGGCGTAGAATTAAAGATGGAGATCACATACCTAAGAAAAGAGGAAGAAAGCCACTTGACAAGTCTCTTAGGTAAAAGAAAACAAATATGATTTTTTTTTCTCATTATACAAGTAGCTTAGTTTTTAGTGTATAAGAACAATTTCTGGAAGCAAGCACCTAAAGCTCCCAGATCAACGTGTATTGTATATGAATCTTTTATTCTTGTAAGTGTATCCCGTGTTCTACAATTTAAAAGAGTGGCTTATCCTGCCTTTCTTGTTTACTCGTATAAAAGTCAGCTGTAAAGCGAAATAAAATTAATTTTAAGAGAAATTGCAGTTGTCTCATAAACATTTCTAGTGAAGCAGTTTTGTAGTTATTTGCTAAAACTTCTACAGTTGAAGGCTTTCTTACAATTTTAGACAAAATATTTATTTTGTACGATTTATGTCTGTAAGTTGTGTTCCAATTGCATGTTACTGCACAGAAAGCAGACAATCTTGTCTGTTTATGTTTTGTTAGTCTTATTTCTAGGTGTATTTTTCTTCATATTTAATTTGATGTGTTTATGCTGACTATAAAGAAACAAACCTATATAGGTTACTATCAAACAAGATAGCATTAGTCCTACTGAAACAGAAGTAAGTTGTGGAAGCTAAGTTCTGCAGTTTTTACTAATTTAAAAAAGTTTTAATGAACATATATATATATATTTTGCCTTCATTTATTTTAGTTGAAGCACAAAGTGATATGGAAGTGTACTAAGTAGCTAGTGGTTATACATAATTATTTACACAAATATTTATATATATTGTTTTAAAATAATGATATATTTAGTTAAAACCAGCAGTAACATTAATAATACTGGCATTTCACTTAATTGAGAAATATTATACTTGTGAAAAGTATTGAGGAATGATGTCCATATGAAAGAATAATTTTTATAATTGAAAAGGAAGCAGGATTATATCAATTGAAATTTGAAAATACTATTACTCGGGATAATCCTGCTAATTTGATTGCATGTGTAGATTTCATAACTGAGACAACAACTGTACACTGAAATTTTCTATTCTAACAGTTTTGTATAGCTTGCTTAACTATAAATAACTGTACTTTATAGTAAATCTAAAATTTCTGTAAATAAGTTAAATTTATAATAGTTTATTTGTTTTGTTTTTTATACTAAGCAACATTTTTCAGCACTTAATTCTACTGTACTAGAGGTTGTTTTATAACGAAAGTGTTTGTGTGTGAACTGACAATATAACAAGTTAGTCTAGGATCAAATGTAATTTAATTAAGTTTCCTGAGCAAAACTGATACTGCAGTTGTTGTTACAACTTTTTAAGAGTGAAGGTGTAAGGGAACATTATATATTTTTTCCTTTATCTGCTGTAATTGCTGTTTTATTTGTACATATTGATTTAGTGCCTTAGGAAGACCAAAGAAGAAGACTCAACCAACAGTTGCAGCTTTACTTCAACAACACAAATCACAGCTTCAGCAGCAACCAGAACTGCTTGTTGGGGAACATGGAACATCCTTGAGTTGCTCACCCTCTTCTGTCGATAATGTAGAAGGAGTTGTGCCCAAAGATAATGCAAAAATAAAAGATGCTATTGAGTCTGTGATCAAAGCAGCTGGAGAGGAAATAATTAGTAATGGGAACATAGGTCTCACAACAGCAAGTAGTGATAGTGAAGATGTACGACAAGCTGTTGATTCTATGGGAGCTCCAAAGCTTCCAGAAAACTTGCCGGCTGAATTGGATGATCTATTGACCAAAATTAAACAGGTAACTGTTTTTTTACAAACAGGAAAATTAGATCCCTTAAGATATTCTTCT